TAGACACAGGTGCGTCTACAGGTTGGCCGCCACACTTCTCCAGGGGCTCTGCCCAGTGGTGACCTCTGGTGGCTGTGAAGGGAAACGGCAGCTTCGCTTCGATTTTAATAAACATATCCCTATTGTCTCTGTCAATGGAGCCCAATAATGGATTTTGTAAACAAAAATGTCTATCACAAATTTTGAAAATTAACAGTAAACTGTAGATAAAATACTTTTCCTTCCCATCAGTCATTAAAAACATTCTGCTGACTGAGCTACTGCTGTACGTTCACTAGACAACTAAAACCTCCAAATTTCACAAACTTCAGGAAGTCACTCGCAAAATAGATATTTTTGAAAATACTTGGCAAAAACTATAAACAAATATTCAAAGTGATTTGGTTTATTGTGTAAAAATGGTTGTTATAATCAGACATAGTTATAGACTGCAGAAAATTGAAAGATGATTTAAAAAAAGATGCATTTTTCTTTTTCCTTACATTTCGGGTGAGAGGCGATGTGTTGTGTTACCATAGTTATAATTTGCCTCAAGATTAATCTTTGTGTTTGCGTTTTGTTTGTTCTGGACTGCATCATTGTCAGCAACTAATTACCAGTAATCCTTAATTGCTTTCAAGCTCAGTCAGTTAAACTCCCTCTTCCAGATTCCAGCTAATAAATCTGCACTGACACAATGTTAGTGATGGTGAGGATCTTAACAAGAAGGTTGGCATCTAAATCAAGTTTTGCAAGAACAGCCGTAAAAGCCTTTAGTACTTACTGTCCTCTGGATAAAATATCATAACAAATAAATGTAGCAGGTGTTCCTTTCTGAAGGTTGATGTAAGAATCTTGTGTTCATTTTCTATTTATTGATGTTAGGTGTGTCCATTTAAAAATAAACCAGTTCAGGCTCTGGTCGACACCAGGAATATCAGCAGTATTATACAAAGACTTCCTTTAGTAGAAATAAAAAATCATATTCTAGAGAGGAATACCAAAACCAACCCAGATTCGACCCAGGCCAGGTTATTCTACTAATAACAAAAAGCAACGACCAGCTCAGTATTATACAAAGACTTCAGTAGAAATGAAGATTATGCAACGCCTGGAGGTGAAGTTAGAGATTAAAGTTGCTTGTGGAAATGAAACAACTCTTCCTCAAAGGAACAGAGAGTTCACATGCAACTCACCCTGGAAGACTCTGGGAGCTAAGCTGAAAAAAAAACCCTCTCTTTGATGAGATGTCTAACGCTGATTCACCTAGACGAATCAGCGTGGCCGTCTGTGAGCCAAAATGCACAACTTCAACACCTGATGTTAAAACTCCAAAACAACTCCACTGACCCCGCTTCCAAGGACAAAGCGACACAAGCCTGGGCCTCAACACATTCTGACTCTGTGGGAATCATACCTGTCAAGTTTGAGATTTGAGAATATGGGAAATGGGAATTGTCGTGTGGGGGAATGCATCATACAGGATATTTACTGACAGGTTTGGGAATCCCACTGAAAAACAGACTGGATGCACTTCAGGAACTGCCAAGGGAAACCTCACCTTCAACAACGGGTACGAGGCAAGACCAGCACATCTACCCCCAAAATTAACACCAAGAAAATGAAAGATATGTCGAAAGTGCGTATCGTCGGAGATGAGGCATTAAATGGAATCAATCATTCTGTTCCTGGTCACGTCTTTCTCATCCTCCTCCTCCTCCAGACGGTCAGTCCTCCCCTGGACAGATGTTAAAACTGAATGCAGTTTTTTTCTGTTCAAATTGTCAACCCTCCATGGTGGCAGACGTGTTGCTGCCAGCCACTTCATACTTTGAAGGTGATTTCCACCCCTGACAGAAAGTAAAAGTAACTTTTCAGTTTTGAGCTTTACTGAAATCAAACCATCTGTTTTATAAGGCTTCTGTATGTTGACCATCTGGTTTGATTATTATACATTTCTGCTGTTGGAATCATGTAGTGGAAATTTGCCCTGAAGGGATTCTCTCCAACCAACCAACCAACCAACCAACCAACCAACCAACCCAATAGATTCATGTAGTATCCCATTAAATGTGTGCTCATCATGCTGCGTGTTTCCTGAAACCTGAGACCTTTAATTGTCACGTTCAGTCAGGACATTCTGCATCATTCTGATTATGACTGCATTGGCAGGCTGACTCAAAGGGAGGAGCTTAGAACTAGACTATAAAAACAGCATAGAGCTAAACAGTGAAACTATTTACTGCCAAGACTTCAACAGCCTGCAAGAGGACAGTGGCCCAGGTCAAATACATTTATAAATAACTTGGTAAGAAAAGTTATGATTTTATACATTTTTTCTGGGGGGAAAGCGTCATTTAACAGGTCAATGTCTGTGGTCCAGACATTGACCTGCAGACATTCTATAAGCCTATTTAAACAGTCTTATTGAGTTTGTATTGGAACCACGTCTTAGTTGTTTTTATGTCTTTCATTAAATATACTCAGTAGTATTTCTATCATCCTTGTTTAGTTCTTCAAAATATAGCTCTGATTATTTTATCACACAGAACATGCTTGGAAATAAATCAAGCACATAACACAAAAATGTATACTAATAAAAGCTTTTTGTTCAAGGGCCTTTTTTGTGTGAAAAAGGTGTGAACCCTGGACAGGTCACCAGTCTGTTGCAGACTGACTGGAAAAACATACTATAAATCTTAAGATTATGAAATTTGTCTAACACCCTCTATAAATCTTGCTTACTTGCATATTTTATTTAGCAGCGATGTGTGCTAGCTAAACATTTACCTAATTATGTGAAAGCCAAGAGGTAAACTGTAGATGGTAAATGGTCTGTTCTTGTATTAATCTAGTTCATTAGACTCCAAAGTGCTTCACACTACATTCAGTCATTTACGTACAAATTCACACACTGATGGTATATTGTAGTTACAGCTGCTCTGGGGAAGACTGACGGAGGCGAGGCTACGATGAGCTGGGTCTTCTCACTGCTACCAGGGGTCATATTGGGTAAAGTGTCCGGGCCAGTGACACCATACCAGGCACAGTTGGAGTGGAAACAGCCTGAGCCTTCAGCCACACCCGGTAATAACAGCTTCTCCTCTTCTACAACTTGGACTTGGAGCTAAATTAGTTTTAGAAATCTGGACAAATTGATTTCAAGGGTTAAGCTTGGAGTGTGATGCACTTTTCGAAAAGTAAAAGGACAAATATTAAGTGTATATCAGTCATAAGCGTTAGTGTGCAAAATAACTGATGAGGAATTAGAAATCTTTTTCACAATGTGGCTTTAAAAGCTTAGAAAAATCCATGATAAACTAATATCCATCTAAAGCTTGATGCTCTGATACATTACCTGGAGAAATTATCATTATTCTTTTGGGAATTAAAAGAATGTAGTTTTTTTTTTGTTTGTTTGTTTTGTATTGGTAAAGAAATAATGCTGCAATTTTAAAATGATTGTAAAAAGTGTAGGCCTAATTCATTAACCCTTCTGCCAACACTTCTTGGTCTTTAATTTATGTAATTGTTTTTAAGCTTCATCCCTGTTTGTATAACTTTATTCTGTAAATGTTACTACTGAACAAAAATGAATCAATCAAGTCAAATATCAAACAGTTGTAACTCAAATCCTTCAGTCACCTACTAGAAGATGAACAGGGATTTTCTTCCTCACCATCACAGTGAGGCCAATAAAATTCAAATCAACAAAATAATTACTTCAGAGAACAATTCAAGTTTTGGAACGACTTGGCCAAAGCTTGGAGTCGAAATATCTATCAGAAAATATGTTGGCTTATGAGAAAAGGATTGTGGACATGATCAAAATTCTTACTTCAAAGGATTTTGATCCTCAAAGAATAAATTCATATTTATAAAAAAAAAAAAAAACTGTGGTAGATCAAAATGTAAAAGAGCTCAACTGTAGAACTAATATTACCTACTTTGTGTATGAACATTCTGATTTGCTTAAGAGGTTGCGCAACTGTTATTAAAATGTATTTACAAAATATCAGCTGGAATTTAACCATTTTTTTAAATAATGAGGATTAGCAAAGTTTATGAAAATATAATATTTTTTAAATTACTTAAAGATTATTCTGCGATTCACCAAAATGTTCATCCAGATCGATAAATCTAACCATAGACAGATCATTCACTCACTAAAAATATTAAACCTATTTTTAGTTTCTACTTATATCTGGATAAATTTGTTTTTGGTTTATTGTTGTTTTCTAATTCTCCAACAACTAAAAAGGATCCAGAGATCAGGATTGTTCTTCTTGGGAAAACTGGAGTCGGCAAAAGTGCAACAGGAAACACCATATTAGGGAAGAAAGCTTTTAGGTCTTGTAGCACTTTTTCCTCTGTGACATCAGTCTGTCAGAAGGAAACCGATGTTTTTCGTGGCTTAAATCTGTCTGTTATTGATACTCCAGGTCTGTTTGATACAAGTAAGAGTAATAGAGAGGTTGTGACAGAGTCTGCTAAATGCATCAGCATGGCGGCTCCTGGTCCTCATGCGTTCCTGATTGTGGTCCAATTAACCAGATTCACACCAGACGAAGAAGAACTTGTGAAAATAATTCAGAAAACATTTGGCGAAGCAGCAGCCAGATTCACCATGGTCCTGTTTACTCATGGAGATGAGCTGAAAAAGGCAAACGTTAAAATAGAAGACATATTAGAAACATACCAACCTCTAAAACGCATCATCAGTCAGTGCTCCATCTTGAAGAAATTTGAAGATAAATATCATGTTTTTGACAACACAGTTGAGGATTCTGCTCAAGTCAGGGGACTGGTGGAGAAAATCCAAAGAATGGTTCAGCAAAATGGAGGAAGTTACTACACCAATAAAATGTTTGAAGAAGCACAAAGAGCTGTCCAAGAAGAAATGGAACGACTGAGCAGAGGAAATCCAACCATTACGCATAAAGAGGCAAAAAAGAAGGCAGAGGAAGGAAACTCATTTATTAATGGTTTTCTGGTGGGGGCTGGTGTGGGAATTGCAGCTGGAGCTGCTGCTGGAGCTGCTATTGGAACCATAGGGGGACCTTTAGGAGCTGCATTTGGAGCCGTTATTGGAATTGCTGTTGGAGGTTTAGGGGGAGGTTCAGTGGGAGCAGCAGTTGAAAAAGAAAAATGCATTATACAGTGATGATATGTGTGATATTCCGGCTGCAGTAACATTTGCATTTGCAGTTAAATTAACATAACATCATCTTAATTTATCTTAATCTCCTCATTTGTTCTCATTTTAGATATATATTTGAGTAATTATTGATTAGTTGATTACCTAGTAATGAATAATAATCATAGCCTGCCGAATTTTGTAACATATTTTCATGACTAATCAAGAAGGGAAAGGAACTTTGTTTAATTTGCTAATTGATGCTTCAATGATCTAACAGAGGAAACCTGGACAATATTGATGTTTATTCTTTCCTTTTGTTGTTCCAGCTGTAACAAAGCTTTGAAATGATAATAAAGATCCCCAGAACCAGAACCAAATGAGAAGCAGCATTCAGCTTCTATGCACCACAAATCTGGAACAAACTTTCAGAAAACTGCAAAACTGCTGAAACACAGAGTGCCTTTATATCTAAACTAAAAACCCTCCTGCTTAGAGTTGTATTTGAAACATAATCAATTACGAATTTAACTACTTAATGTAATGTTTTGATTGTTGATTCTGTGTTGCATGACTTTGTATTTTTGTGTTTTTATTATGCAAAGCACTTTGAAATTCCTTACTGCTGAAATGTCAAATTCAAATCAAATTTGATTGATTGATTAATTAAAGATTAAGACTTTTTTTTAATTTATTTATTAACTCCATTTGGTATTTTCCCTCTGAAGGACAAATACACTCACAAGCCACTTTACTAGGTACACATTGCTGGTACCGGGTTGGACCCCCTTTTGCCTTCTGAACTGCATTAATCCTTTGTGCCTTTGTGGCAGAGATTCAACAAGGTACTGGAAACATTCTTCAGAGATTCTGGTCCATATTGACATGATAGCATCAGGCAGTTGCTGCAGATTTGTCGGCTGCACATACATGATGCAAATCTCCCATTCCACCACATCCCAAATTTGCTCTATTGGATTGAGGTCTGGTGACTGTGGAGGCCATTCGAGTTCAGTGAACTCATTGTTCAAGAAACCAGTCTAAGACGATTTGCGCCTTATCCATTCACCATGTCATCACATGGTGCGTTATCCTGCTGGAAGTATCCATCAGAAGATGGTCCACTGTGGTCATAAAGGGATGGACATGGTCAGCAGCAATACTCAGGTAGGCTGTGGCTTTGACACGATGCTCAATTGGCACTAATGGGCCCAAAGAGTGCCATTTCACACCATTGCACCACCACCAGCCTGAACCGTTGATACAAGGCAGGATGGATCCAGGCTTTCATGTTGTTGATGCCAAATTCTGACCCAACCATCCAAATGTCGCAGCAGAAATCGAGACTCATCAGACCAGGCAACGTTTTCCCAATCTTCTATTGTCCAATTTTGGTGAGCCTGTGTGACTTGTTGCCTCAGTTTCCTGTTCTGAGTTGACAGGAGCGGCACCCGGTGTGGTCTTCTGCTGCTGCAGCCCAGCCACCTCAAGGTTTGATGTGTGTGTTCAGAGATGCTCTTCTGCAGACCTCGGTTGTAATGAGTAGTTATTTGAGTTACTGTTGCTGCTCTATCAGCTCGAACAAATCTGACCTCTGCCTACAAGAGGTCAGCCCAGGCATTGTTGTAGGCATCAACAAGCCATTTGCACCACAGAACTGCAGCTCACTGGATATTTTCTCTTTTTCAGACAATTCTCTGTAAACCGTGAAAATCCCAGTAGATCAGTAGTTTCTGAAATACTCAGACCAACCCATCTGGCACCAACAACCAAGCCACGTTCAAAGTCACTTAATGACCTTTCTTCCCCATTTTGATGCTCAGTTTGAACTGCAGTAGATCGCCTTGGCCATGTCTAGATGCTTCAAAGCATTGAGATGCTGCTATGTGATTGTCTGATTCAAAAGTTGTGTTAATGAGCAGTTGGAAAGATGTACCTAAAAAAGTGACTGGTGAGGGTAGATGGAAATACTCTTGTAATAATGAATGACCTCTTTATTTTTTTTCATATACCAGATATCAAAAACATGACACAAATGTATTTTACCAATAGCATAACAAGGAAGAGTTTTCCTTTAAATGCAAGACCCCCAACAGCCTCTGTACCGTCAGTGCAATAACATCAGTAATTACTGATCAGCAAAAATGTTCACATGAAACAGGTTGAACTGTTCCTACTACATGGTAACCATCTATTCTACAATCTGAAGTGTAGGAATAGGCGATATAAACTTTTTGAAAATTTTTGGTCACATTTATTCAAAGAAAAGATAAAAAAATATTTTAAAATATAGCAATCTATTTTCTCAAAAGATTTTGGTCCTGCTTCAGCACCATAAACCTGAAAAAAAGAACATGATTATCTTATTCTTATGGGCCTTTTTTTAACATGAGGAGTTTCAGACCAACAATAGAAACAAAGACATGAAGACATGCAAGATTCTAGAATGAAATCTTAATTTTTAACAATTAATAGTTTGTCACATTTGAAATATTTAAACTTTTTTCCAGACGATGTGGAGATGTTGAACATTTGAGGCAATAAGAAAATTAACTAAAGAAAGTACTATTTCTAGTATACAACAGAAAAAATCTATACAGTTGAAATGTTAAGTTATTGTAGCCATCACCAAATTCATACCATACTATACCAACTATATTTATAAAGCACTTTAAAACAACCACAGATGATACAAAGTGCTGTACATTAAAACACAACATAACAATTAAAATAAAAATAAAAATAAAAAATAAAATAATAAAATAAATTTAATAAAAAAATTAAAAACTCTTACAGAAACAAACAAACATACAATTTAAAACAAGATCCCGCTGGAGTTGAAAGCCAAGTAAAATAAATGGGTTTTAAGACGAGCTTTAAAAGTGGACAGTGAAGGGGCCTCTCTAACCTGCAAAGGCAAGTCGTTCCATAATTTGGGGCCCATGACAGAGAAAGCCCTGTCCCCTCTGAGCTTCCTTCTCCAAGAGCAGCTGATCTGCGGACCTGAGAGACCGATAAGGTATGTATGGGTGAAGAAGCTCAGAGAGGTAAGCCGGGGTGATTTAAAAACAAACATAAGAATTTTAAAATGAATCCTAAAATATACAGGCAGCCAGTGAAGTGAGGCCAGGACAGGGGTCACATGTTCCCTCTTTCGAGTTCCTGTCAAAAGTCGTGCAGCAGCATCTGAACCAGCTGCAGACGTGAGAGCAGCGACTGACTGACTCCCAGATAAAGTGCATTACAGTAACGCACTTAAGAAGACTTGTTTCTAAGTCTTCATGGACTCAAAAACTCTCCCAGTACAGGAATTCAGACTCTCTGCTGGTAAAACGAAAGAATCAAATCAAATTTTATTTGTATAACACATTTCAAGGCATTTCAAAACTTTATATTTTTCCAAGTGCTGTCATTACACATCAAATTTCTGATTGTTTCATTGATTATGTTTCAAAATCAACTCTAAACAGGCAGGTTTTTAGATTTAAAGGAACTCAGTGTTTTGGCTTTTTTGTAGTTTTCTGGAAGTTTATTCCAAATTTGCGGTGCATAGAAACTGAATGCTGATTCTCCTCGTTTGGTTCTGGTATTGGATGCAGAGCAGAACCAGGATCAGAAGGCATGAGAGGTTCTGGAAGGTTGCTATGACAACAGCAGACCTTTAATGTATTGTGGTTTTAAGCCATTCAGTGATTTATAAACCAACAAAACGATTTTAAAGTCTATTCTCTGAGCTACAGGGAGCCAGTGGACGGACTGTAGAACTGGGTGATGATCTCCATCTTCCTGGTTTTAGTCAGAATGACAGCAGCAGTTCTTCATAATATTCAAGTGGCAAACTACATTTAGTGTGACATATGCAGTGGAGGCAGAATAAATAAGGCATTTGAGCTCACAAAGATGATGTCGAGAAAACTGGCATGGACTTGTGAGATCTCTCTAGGTACACGCAGAAAGCAGGGTAAAAGCCTGGGGAATAACAGTAATCTTGTATTGATTTAAGAATGATTAAAGAAATGAAATACAAAATACATAACTGTGTAATAGTTTAAATGGTTGATGTATTGTAATCACAATGTCTGTAATGTATGACTGAAATATATAATCTGTATTCAGGATCTGAACAGTTTGTGTGTGCCTACACTCACACTCACACACACCCCTACTCAGTCCAACGCTCTCCCTCTT